AAGCTCATGGCTACCGCAGCCTCAACCTGCAGGGCTCAGGCGAGCCTTCCGCCTCAGCCTTCCAAGCAGCTGAAAGTACAGGCATGCGCCACTATGCCTGGCTAAGTGTGATTTAACAAAGTGAGATGATTGCATTTCCAGAGCTGTCCAGAAACACGCTGTGTGGCGATGCGAGGATTGCACGGGCCGGCGGTTCTGGGTCAGCCTCGCTGGAGCCCCGTGTCTCCTGCCTTTGTCTGCAGGTTCCCGTTTAGCCGCCCGGAGCTGCTGAAGGAATGGGTGCTGAAGATTGGCCGGGGCAACTTCAAGCCCAAGCAGCACACGGTCATCTGCTCTGAGCACTTCAGGCCTGAGTGCTTCAGCGCCTTTGGCAACCGTAAGAACCTGAAGCATAACGCCGTGCCCACTGTGTTCGCCTTCCAGGACCCGGCGCAGGTAGGGGCGGCGCGGCCTTCCCTCCAGATCCAGCCCCCACGAACCACCAGCTGCTGGGGTGGGGCAGCACTTGTGGACAAAGTCAAGGCCAAGAAGTACGGTGAGAGTGGCACTGTCAAGCCTCTGGGTCCCAGAGCCCCGTGGCCCTGCTGGCTGTGACCTTGGCTTTAGAAGTCATAACTTAAGCACTTTAAAAATAAATCATGCTGCACACCAGGAAGCCATGGAAGAGGCGGAGTGGTGAACACGCCTAGACCTTGGCCCTCTGCCTCTTGCCCTGGCTGAGTCTCCCGTGGGCTCCAGGCCATGCAGTGAGGACCTTCCCACCTAAAGGGCAGCAGGCTCGGCGTCACATTCAGATTCAGTGCTCTTTGTCCCAGAGGCCAGCTGGCAAGTCTCCTTCAACTTCTGCCCGTGCCAGGTGCTGGGCTAGGTGCCTCTGGGCCTGCAGCTCATATAGCCAGGGGAATGGAAGGATTTTGCAGGGGGAGCGGCGGGGGCAACCTGCGGACATTGGGCAGAGGATTGGTGTGGAAGAATTTGGGCGCGTTCCGGAACAGTACCCAGGCCGGCTTGTCTGGGGGCCGTCAGCAGTCAGAGAGGCGCGACGGGGCCATGAGAGGCTGGGAAAGGCCGTGGGGCTCCGGTGTCATGGGCAGCCCGGCTGCTGGAACAGGCACGAGACGGGGGCTGGGAGGCTGAGGTGAGGGTCCTGCGAGGGCCGCTGCTGGGTCTGCAGACACCTCTTCTCGCTGCGTCCTCACGCGGCAGACAGCAGAGAGAGGGCTCCTCTTGTGACCCGATCGCCTCCACAAGGCCTAACTCCTGGCGTCACATTGGGGCGATTTCGGGGCACCCACAGCAGTGGGGGACGTGACTCGGGTCACAGGTGGAGAAGGGCTTGGTGGGACGCGCCCTCGGGGCCACGCAGTGTCCCTGATGAGTGGTCCTGGCATCCTGAGCTGAGGGTGGGGCGCAAGGAGGAGGCAGGTAGCGGCCCTTGCAGGCCTGGGAGGTGGCCGGGGAGGCAGTGTCCACCGAGCCTCTGGAGAAGGTGGCTCCCCGGCCCCCTGAGGAGCTGGGTCTCGCGCAGGCCGGGACACTTAGGTGGCTGTGGCGGGGATGGGCGTGTGGGTCTGGTTCAGGGAGGTTCACAGGTAGCGGGACACTGAGGCCTGAGAAGTGCTAGGCCCATTTGAAGCTGGAAGGCAGGGTGGTGGTGGTCCCTGTGCTGGTGTGAATTGATTGGTGTGAGAGGAATGGGAGCTGTGACTTGGGAGCCGTGACTTGCCAAGTGTGGAAGAGTGGGTGGCTGTTGGCAAACATGCCTGAATGGCCGCTCAGGGCTGCTGTGCCTGTCCGTCCTTCCCCCAGAGACCCACATGCTAGCTGCCTCACACCTCAAGGCTGCGTGCTGTTCCTCCAGGAGACCCCTCTGTGCCCACCGGCCTGCTGGCCCTCCGCCCTCTCCCCTGTAGTCTCCTGCCTGGGGCCACCTGCCATGCTGCCCGTTTCCATCACTTCTTTCCTTGAGCACAAGCTGTGTGAGGGCAGGACTTCATTTCCCTGCCTGACACCTGAGCACCTGCATGCCGCCCCCCGTGGGCTGCTCAGTGCGTGCCTGCTGAGAGACAGCGCAGTGTCCTCGCCTTCACATACCTGTGGTGAAATGGGGGCCCTGAAATAAGATGACAGTTGGACAACCTGGTGTGCCTAGTGCTTCCAGTGCCAGGCTGGTGACAGAAGTTGGGCGTGGCCCTAGCGGCTCAGGCAGGCTCTGCTCTGTGGTCACTGCCTGGCAGGCCCAGGACTGCAGCTTCCACGTGGGTGAAGTGGGCTTCCTGCTGCATGCTGCACTCCCAGGGCAGACACCCACGGAGGCAGGATGCCAGGCCCTGGGCGAAATGTGTGAGTTTGACGGTTCCTGTTCTGTAGGGACCTTTTTAGAGACCGCTGACCATGACTTGGGAACATGAAGCAGAGCACAGAGTGGGTGGCAAGAGCTGGGCTGGGCTTCCGGTCAGTCTCTCTCTCTCTCTCTCTCTCTCTCTCTCTTTTATTTTTTGAGTTGGAGTCTCACTCTGTCACCCAGACTGGAGTGCAGTGGCCGGTCCCGGCCACCGCAGCCTCGACCTGCTGGACTCTGGCGATCCTTCCGCCTCAGCCTTCCAAGTAGCCTTCCAAGTACAGGCGCGCACTACCACACCCAGCTGATTTTTGATTTATTGTAGAGATGAGGTCTTGCTGAGTTGCCCAGGCGGGTCTCGAACCTGCGGGCTCAGGCAATCCACTCACCTCAGCCTCCCAAAGCACTGGGGTTACAGGCTGAGCCACCGAGCCCAGCTAGGTCAGTCTCTTTTAACAGACACTATTAGACATGGCACACACGGTGAGCAGTGTTCCGAGATGCCCGAGGCCCCATGGGGCTAGGAGGGCTCTTGGGTCCGCAGATCCTTCAAACCCCATGTGGGCCGCACATGCACCATCTGCATTGGTCCGTGTGTCTCTTGCAGCTGGTGAGGGAGAACACAGACCCTGCAGGCGATAGAGGAGAGGCCAGCCCTCACAACAAAAAGGTGGGTGTGCATGGGCCAGGTGCCTGAATACCTGAGTGATGGGGCGGCCTCCCCGGCAAGGCCAGCCTGCTGGGCCTGCCTGCTGTTCCTTGGGCTCTGGAGTTCTGGGTTTCCTGTTTTCCTGGAGAAGGGAAAGCTGGGGCTGCTCAGGCTTCTCCTTTCTTTTCAATATCAGGGGAAGTTCACTTGGTAGCAAGGCTTGTGCCTGATTTTTTCTTATCTTTTTTTTTTGAGTCAGAGTCTCACTCTGCCACCGCAGTCTCGACCTGCTGGGCTCAGGCAAGCCTTCCACCTCAGCCTCCCAAGTAGCTGGACTGTGGGCACCACCGTGCTCGGCTAATTTTTTGATATTTTGTAGAGACAGGGGCTTGCTGTGTTGCCCAGACTGGTCTTGTGCCTAATTTCTTTCTTTTTTTTTTTTTTTTGGTTGGAGTCTCACTCTGTCACCCAGGCTGGAGAGCGGTGGCATACTCCCGGCCACCATAGCCTCGACCTGCTGGGCTCCGGCAATCCTTCCACCTCAGCCTTCCAAGTAGCCAGAACTTCAGATGTACGCTACCACGCCCAGCTAATTTTTGATGTATTGTAGAGACGAGGTCTTGCCAAGTTGCCCTGGTGGGTCTCGAACCTGCGAGTTCAGGCAGTCCTCACCTCGGCCTCCCAAAGTGCTGGGATGACAGGCTGAGCCACTGAGCCTGGCCGTACCTGATTTCTTAAGGTTCCAGTTCAACTGTGTGGTAGAAATAGGCTTCTTTCACAGACCCTGGGGTCCCTGACTGTGGCCACTCCATAGGCCATGTGAACAGCTTGGAGAGGATCTGGTGTCCACAGGCTCCACGGCCTGATCCGCCTTGCTGTTCCCAGGTCCTCCCCGAGGCAGGGGCCACAGAGCACAGCCCTGGGAGAACTATGGACACTGCCCTTGAAGAGCTTCAGCTGTCCACAAATGCTGAAGGCCCCATAAAGCAGGTAAGACAGGGTCTGAGCAGGAAGCCAGTGTGCAGTGGTTGATCTTGTCATGAGATGCTTTGCTTCAGAGGGAAAGCTGTTGCCCTGGAAACCCTAAGACTGTCAGGAGCTGGTGCGTAGCCTCGATGTCAGAGCTTCCTAGTAAAATCAGTCCCACACTCTGGGATGTGTGGATTTCAGAGCAGCGGAAGTGCGTCTCGCTGCTCAGGGTAGATGCCCAGTGCGTGCTTCCTGAGTGCAGTGGTTCTGCTGGGCTTTCTGCCTTTGGGCAGCCCTCGGCTCTCACCTCTGTCCTCAGGTCTTGCCACAGAGACTGGAAGCAGCAGAGGCCCCTGGTCGGCCAGCCAGCCCCACAGGGCTGAGAAGATCTGTCCCCAGGCAGCCGTCGGATCACAGCTATGCCCTTTTGGACTTAGACACCCTGAAGAAGAAACTTTTCCTCACTCTGAAGGAAAACGAAAAGCTCCGGAAGCGCCTGCAGGCCCAGAGGCTGGTGATGCGGAGGCTGTCCAGCCGTCTCCGTGCCCACAGAGTGGGGCTGCGGGGACTCCAGGCCAGACCTCAGCCAGAGCAGCAGAGCTGAGCCTGACAGGCGCCGGGACGTGGGGCGGTGGTAGCACCTGAGGCCAGGCAGTGGCCTTGGGGTTCTGGCCAAGGACATTTCTGCCTGTTGCTGACCAGAGAGTGGCCGACAGGCACACCAGGCAGGGGACTGAGACAGCAGCCAGATGGCCTGGCCAGGAGCTCAGACGCTGTTGCCGTGGTGGCTGGAGGCACCAGGCTGGGAGAGCAGGCCCATGAGCACATCCCCTCAGCACGTGCTGTCGATGGAACCACAGCACAAAGAGCTGCTTGGGCCCCACGGCAGACAGGGAGCCTTTATCCCAGAGGATACATCCTCCAGGGAGCCAGGGTGGGTGGGTGCCTTTCATCAGCCTGGACAGCCAGTGCGAAGCGGCTGGGACTGGCCTCTGTCCTAGGGAGTAACCCCTCCTGCCTGGTGTGAGTGACGTAATAAAGTGTCTTTCTACCCTGCAGTGTCTCCTCACTTCCTGTTTCCTGTTAAAGAGCTGGCAGGGCAGGGGTGACTACCTCTGACAATGAAAAAGCAGACCATGACTTTAGCTAATTAAAAAGCAAAACAAAAATTCTAGCCTGATTTCCCAACTGTGGGTTCTATTTCTCAGGCAAGTGTTTAACAGACAGTGGGACCACAGCTGCAAGTCCAGCCTGGTTCAGCTGTGGCTTACACAGCAGGGAACCGAGGATGGGAGCAAGTCCCCTGGGCAGGGCACCTTCCTTATCTTGCTACTCCTAAAAATGAACACACAAACACACCGAAGAATACTCTCCTCAGCTTTCAGGAAGGGTTTATTGTGGTGAGTGCCGTTCGTACAGTTGACGTCACCACGAGGAGGGCCGGTGCCCACAAGCACCTGTGGCAGAGGCAGATGGGGCAGGGCCAGGATCGAGGCTCATGCAACATGACGTCCACTGTGCGGCTCAGTCCGTGGGGGCCACTGGAGAAACTTTTAAAAAATGGAGATAAATATCAGGCTTTCGGGCTGTCTGCTACGAGGGCTGACGTCGGCAATGGTTGCAGGGAAGCAGGAGACCACAGTGGCCATCGGTCTCCAAGTCCCGCGGTCCCAGCTCGCCCGTGCAGTGCCTGCTTGGAGGGGGTCAATGAGGGTGTTAGTGAAGGCGGGTGACTGCTGCCACGTCCAGGACCCACGACATAGGCCAGTGCCCACAGGTAGCTCTACTGCAACGAACAACCCAGGCTGCAAGGAGCCTCCTGGCGAGGAGCCACATTCTGCATCCACAGTGGGCAAGAAAGGGTTCTGGAGCAGTAGCACCCCTCGGGAGCACCCCTGTAAGGAGGGGCAGGGCCTGTCAGGCACAGGGAACAGTGGTGCCAACTGCTGGGTGGGTACTTGCCAGCCCCTCGTGAGCTTGTGGGCCAGCCCCGGGGTCAGCACCTCTGGGCTTGGCTCGTCCGACCTGTCCTGCTCCCCCTTGCCTAGTACTCAGCTCTGTCCGGGGGCCTCCCTCTTCCCAGCCCCATGCTGTCACAGCAGGTGGCCACAGGCAGGCCAGGCTGTGCTGAGTGGGGTGTGCAGGGTGCGGGTCAGCTCACATCTGCATCCGTCTCCACAGGGACACGGGAGGTAACCCGTGTCAGGGATGGGCCCTGGGACTGGAATCACATCACTCTGTCCCAAGCCAGGGGCCGGTGGGGTGATCTGAGCAGCTCTGGGGACAGGAAAAAGAGACTACTTTCCAAACCTGTTTGTTCTCAGATAAAAAGCAGTTTTATGAGCCCACAATCCTCTCCAGATTCACGTGGTAATATTTCAGCAGAAAAAGGTGCTTTGTGGCAAGTCGGCCGCACAGATGCTCCCTTGACCTGGAGGCACTGGTGTGTGGAAGTGCCTCCCTCCCTTTCTGGTGTTTCCCACGTTCGGTGTGGATTTGGGGAAAAGCAGTTCACAGTCCTATGTGTGAGGACAGGGTGTTCCACAAATACCCCAGACAGAACCAAGAACTACGGGGTGGCAGGCAGCATTCAGCACACCTGCTGGAGAACCTGTGGGGAGCTGGCAGCGTCAGGCCCAGGGCCCTTCCCTGCGGGAACACGATCCTTGGACAACAGCCACGGGCCATGCTGCTGTCTGATCCAGGGTGGGGCTGCCTTAGTCCCACCCCCCAGCACTCAAGAAAGCTGGGGTGTTTGCATGTCCCTTCACATAATTGATACGGTGCCACCTTCTACAGGAATAATATAAAATAAAAACATCTGATGTTGGGGTTTTTTCCCTGCTTCCACATTTGTAGACTCCCAGGAGATTTTTTTGCAGCCTTTAAAAAATCTGGTTTGCAAGCAATTTATCCATCTGTATCGATCCTGTGAGCTGTAAAAGAAAAGACAGATGCAGGCGATTAGAAGGCGGCTGTTCCCATGCCCCTTTCTCCAGGGGATCAGCCGCTGGCCCATACTGGGCAGAGCACGAGCTGCCAGGAATCCCCTGCTTCTGGAACGTGGAGGTTTGCATGCACACCCAGCCACTCAGGCTGCAGTTTGCAATCAAAGAGCTCACTCTCGTTCTACCTGTGAAAGGGCTGAAGCCCCTCCCCAGGGCACAAAGCAAGGGCTCCCTGCGAGTCATGAAGCCAAGGTTCAGTCAGCCTCCGTGCCACCAGGTGGACAACTGAGGGAAGGCGATCATCAGTCCACACCATGAGCAGCCACCACAACGTCCCTCCCTTCAGGGACCAAGGGCCTTTTGGTGTGACTAAAGGGGCAGCTACTCACACTGCTTTGGTATCCTGAGGGCCTCACTGTCCAGCACCATCACCTGATGCAGGACACCTCGGAACTGATAGAGCACTTTCAGGTTCTTCTCTTCACCCACACACGGGTCATAAAAGCCAGGCAGCCCAGCCTGGAACAAACAGGTAGTTATTTTAATGGCTACTCCAGACAGCTAAGACCAGCACTCCTCCCTGTTACCACTTGCGGTGTGGAGTGGAAGGGCCCTGCCTTGCCCTCAGGAGAGGGAAACTTTGGAGCTGGAAAAAAAATGAGACTCTCAAAAAAGTGCCCCCATAGTTCTCAACATGCCTATCAATGCAAGCCTTCAATACGAGACGACACAGAGCTCTGTCCTCACAGGAGCCCTCCCCAGACAGTGTGCCTGCATGGCCTCTTCAGGAGCCAGAGCTCTCTGGCCTGAGTAAATCTGCACTTTAATTCTGGCTAGTCCACTTCCCAGGCTCCAGAGGCGAGACTCAAACATGTCTTAAGTGACCTTGTGCTCTTTCAGGAACAAGGCAAAAATAGAATACAACTGCCATGAAGGCAGATGTGTGTTTTCTGCCACTGTGCCTGGCGCAGAGCAGGAGCTTAGTGAAGACCTGTTGAGTGCATGGATGGAATAATGAAGGGAGCAAGTGGAGCTGCAGGGTAGAACCACCTGGGCCCAGGAGCTCCCAGGCAGCAGATGCCAGCGGACGGAAGAATCCACCGCAACAAGCGGCCACTGCAAGAGGCCAGGCTGTCCTGTGAGACAACCTATTCTGTGAACTCCTTTTTCTGCTGGGCTCCCGTGAGCACAGGGCACACGGTGGGCACTGCTATACCTTGGATGCCTCTGTGAGGATGAGCTTTGAGTCCTTTACCAGGCACTGCAGGGGCACAGTCACGTCGATCACCTTCACCTTCTCGTTCTTCTTGCTCTTGTCATTGACAAATTTCCCGTACCAGGCGTTCACGATGATGAGCCCTAATGACGGATTCAGTCAGAGCAGAGGCATGCCTCCTCTGGGCACTTCCCGAGCAGGTTCGAGACCCCCCAGCCCCCACCCTGACTCAAGAGAGGACACGCCTTCTCACCCATTTTGGACTCCTCTGCCTCGATGATCCTTCGGACAGATTCCTGCATCAACCGAACCTACCAAAGAACAAGGAGGACCACGTCGGGCCCCGCAGGATCTGCTCCACCTTTGCGTTCAGAGGGCTGTGGACGGGAGTCCGTGTCCAGCAGCACGCCTCTTGGGCACAGAACGGAAGAGGGTGGCTGCCCCAAGAACTCGGCTCCCACCTGCGCACTCTGAAACCCCTAGTCTTGGAGTAAGTGGCTTGGGGTGGGCAGGTAAAGCAGCACCTGAAATGGCACAACCCCTACCTGCAACCTTGGGATCATCAGGGTGACCCGATGAAAACCTTTGCTTTGCTGACCCAATGAAAACCTCCTGAATACACTGTCAGCATTCCAGAGTAAAGATGTTTCACACAAGGAACTGGACTTGAGAAAGGGCCTGTGTTCTCCTGTGGCACCATTTTGCTGGGCAGCGCTGTGCTGTCCCCTCAGACAGGGACGTGCTTGCAGGCCCACACACACTGCTCACTTCGGGCTGTCTGCCTGGGCACTGGGTACATATATCAGCCCTTTGGACCATGAAAAGCCCAACAGTGTGCCTGTCATTTATCCAGAATGCCTGCTTTGTGTCCTGTAAAAGGCAGTACACTTAAAGGGAAGAAACAGAGGTCAGGCTGGATGTGGTGGCTCAGGGAGGCTGAGCGGGGAGGATCGCCTGAAGCCAGAGTTCGAGAACAGCCTCAGAGATATAGCAAGACTGTGTTAAATTAGCCAGGCATGATAGTCTGTGCCTAGTCCCAGCTATTCAGCAGGCTGAGGAGGATTGCTTGAGCCCAAGAAGTCAAGGCTGTGGTGAGGTGAGTTGTGACTGTGCCTGGGTGACATAGTGAGACCTTGACTCAGAAAAAAATTAGTTTTGTTGGAGTGCCTGTAGTCCCAGCAACTCAGGAGGCTGAGGCAGGAGGACTGCTTGAGCCCAGGAGGTCAAGGCTGCAGTGAGCTGTGATGGCGCCACTGTACTCCAGCAATGCCAGACTCTGGGAGGCTGAGGTGGGAAGATTGCTTGAGTCCAGGAGTTTGAGACCAGCTTGGGCAACATGGTGAGACCTCATTCCACACAAAAACCAAAGAATTAGCCGGGCGTGGTGGTGTGTGCCTGTAGTCCCAGCTACTCAGGAGACTGAGGAAGAAAGTTCCCCTGAGCCCAGGAGGTCAAGGCTGCAGTGAGCTGTGATGGTGCCACTGTACTCCAGCCTGGGCAAGAGTGAGACTCTGGCTCCAAAAGAAAAGATGATAGTTACTTGCTTCCAGATTGCTGGGCTCAACCAATCTTCTGGCCTCTACCTCCCAGATTGCTGGATTACAGGCATGAGCTACCGTGCCCTGGGACTAATCACCATTTTTATTTATTTATTTTATTTTTGGTTTTTTTTTGAGTTGGAGTCTCACTGTCGCCCAGACTGGAGTGCAGTGGCCGCTCCCAGCCACTGCAGCC